GTATATGTCTATCTCTTAGGGATAACCCACAATAACCATTTTTATCCTTTACTTTTTATGAGAAATAATGACTTATTTACGAAGCGATTGTAGGCAATACAGCATTAATTCTTATCCAATTAAGTACCTTAAATACATTGTGCATTTAATATAGATCAATATGGCCCTTTACAGCATGTAATTTAAATGAATATTTTCGAAGATATTACAGATTTAAAATGCAGGGACATAGCGGTTGTGGCGGTAGCGGACGGATGGTCGGTTTGTATTGTCTAATGACAAAAAAACTGTGAATGTTGTATATAAAGACATTCTGTAGTATATTTAGTATATTCAGGGGGTATCTTTTGAAGATTTCCCCTTTTCATAATAATCTAAACAAAACAAAAATATATTTAGTATCAGCATTGCACCTGTGCGAAGCTGGGGCGGGTCACTAGTAATTAATAAAAACCAAAAGTTAACGCCTCAAATATTGTCATTTGATTTCATGCTTCCCTTTGTAGCAGTGCTCGTCAATCCATGTTCTGCGGATTCGTACGGTTTTCCAGTAGAGAAGTTGTTTTCGAATAAACACTTTAGTTATCTAGCTCATTTGGACCACTATGTTCATTCATAAAACATATAGAGCTCTTTAAAGAGATGTAAAGTGTTTTCGTTCGCCATTTGGGTTTATCCGATGGGCAGAAAAATACTTACTTACAAAATACTGGATGTAAATCGCAGTTGAACAGTTATATTTCATTGGACTGTTAAATTTACTATTAATTAAATGCAGAATTTAGACGTCGTACCGCGCTTATGTTCGAATATTTGATGCTTTCTCCCATCTTGCGTCGGACACACGACGCCCTACTCCCGTTTCCTCACTCAACCCTTTTCCCAACTCAATCCTCTTCCGACGCCCAACCCTTCAATTTCCTTCCCGGGGATGTACAACCTTCGGATTGATCTTCCCACTCGAGGGGTAAAAAAATCTATTCCATGTAAACTAACGATTGTTTAGGAATTTTATAGTTTGTGAATAAAAGAATCAAGGCAAAAGAGAGTGTTAATGTCTTTATTGATTATATAACCGACACCAACGTTTCGCCTCTTGTTGGGAGGCCCTCTTTTGCCTTGATTCTTTTGTTCACATTAAAACTAGGGAAAGAAATAGCGAATTTTATAGTTTGTATTTTATTTTTTCATGAATAAGGATCCCACAAACAGTTATGCATGAAGTTGAGAATCTTCAAGATTCGCTATTATTGGGTTCAAGTCAAATTTTAAAGACATGTGTTTTAGCAAAAATCCGGTATCGCTGACGAATACGTCCTTTTACATATAGAGCTTCAATGCATACAAAAGAATTGGTTGCGCTTCTTCAACCTTTTGCCCATTCAGTCGTTCGTATAGTTGCTTTTATTTAGTCAGTTCTAACAATATGTTAATATGTTTTGCACTGTATTCCAATAGAAAAATATGCATCTTGTTATAGGTATGTTCGCATACCTAGCAATGGTTAAGGTGGATTTCAGGACTCTACAATCATCGGTGGACGTATAATTTATTAAATGTCTTCTCGACATGTATTTTTCTTTCTGTTAAGCAGCAATAAAATATTATGGTTTGCTGGATGGGCGAAGCATCAGGTTTTTCCTCTAAATCAGGATTAAAATTATTACCGCACGTCCTTCTGTTAAATGTGTCGGTATCACAAAAATTTGTCGCGAATCGTTTGGCGCGTTTACTACTATATTACACATTACACACTTTATCACAGTCTTAAATCTTTATACTAAGTAGTAAAGTGCGTAGGTATGTATAGATATACGGTTCAGGCCAACATATTCGTCCTATGGATATGTATTATAATACCACTACTAATCTATTAGATAAAACCGAAATAATACTAAAGATCGCGGCATACATGTACGTACATATAACTCAAAATGAATAATACCGGTTGCACTTTTAACAACTCGCATATGTATCAAAGATTAAGTGTTATTAAAATAATGGCAACCAAAGTTGTTAGGTGCAAGATAAAATTTAATAACGCCAATAAAATGTGTTATAAAAAAGGAAAATTGTGTAAAATACCGCAACAGGTATTCACGTGGCCAATTATTTAATTAAGCTGTCAGTAGTTGAAGTTGAAAATTTAAATTGGCAATTCTGCTTTAAAGTAATAATTAATATCTGAACAGCTTTATAAAAGAATTTTCTAATGGTCTGATATACAAATTACAGGGAAGAAAAGAAAGTTCGTAGTTCATACTTAACAGTTAATTGTCAAATCAAATATATTACGACAAAAGCAAACAGAATTTAGCTTAAACTACCCCAATAAAAAAGTCTGTGCTTTTTTTATTAATTAGACAAGTTCTTTCCCTCTTTCAGTCACTGTGAGCTCGAAACTGTTAACACCATTGCTTCGAGTGGTTGAAAAATTAAATTTAAAGGAATTGTTTGTAAATAGGTATGCAACACATCATACACTTCAGCACAGGAAATTGTTGGTACTAACTTTCATTTACGTAATATTACTTTGCCCTGTGCTGACACCACTCATAATTTCTTTTATATATAATATTAATTAAATTTGTTATTTTAATACTCTTACAGGTGATCATGGAGGTGCAAGTGATGACGAAATTCAGTCTGCTATGTTTGTTTATTCAAAGGCTCCCCTAAAAAAATCCAAATACAGTTATGGAAATGAAATTAGACAAGTTGATCTTGTGCCAACACTAGCTACAATTTTTGGANCTATTATTTATTAAAAATTCATGAAACAATTGATAGTATACTAATAAAAGTATAAAAGAGAGAGACTCTACAAACTGTTTAAATAGAGAGAAAGATGTACCAGCAGTGTTGATTACCTGCGACTGGTCGAGAGAGATAAGGGTATCTTTCTCTTCCTTGTGGTAGGTATACGGGTTACAGGAACATTTATTGTTCCAGTAACAAATAATAAAGTAAAAGATTTACAATTTTAACTTTATAATCCACAGCAGGCAAAATTAAACTGAACCGACTAAACATCACACACGATTACTAAATGTTTATTTGTGACTTACATTACGCCGTTTTCCAAGAATTTTTGAAGACCTGAAAAGAAAAAACAATTATTAAAACAAAGATTGTTATATGTCCATAAAATTTACTAAGTACAACACAATTTTAATAAAAATCAGAAACTATTAATTTATTTCATTCCTTTGCCTTTTAAACAGGTCTTACTTGCATTGAAACAGAGAAAATCGATATAAACAAGT